AGGTTGATGGTATATGACTGATGTCAGTGCTTCCTATTCATGATAATTTTTATTTCCCCCTCTGCAGGATGAACAGAAATGCATCGAAACAGTGGAACTGGAGAGTTACGACAAGTGCCAGGAAGTGCGTGCACTACTCAAAAAGAAAAACCGTTTCATTTTAATCCGCTCCCCGGGTAAGAAGGTAGGATTGCCTTTCTCATCACCCTCAATTCTGCTAATTCCAAAATGAGTCCCCAGGCAGCTGTGCCCAGAGCAGACGAAAGGCTCTGAGATAGCTCTTTGGCAGCTGGGAGAAATGACCTGTGGCTGAGAATGCAATATGCAAAGAGGAACACTATTGTTCTGTAGACTTTCTTACCGTGTTGGTGAATCAGCCTTCCTGCTACTCAGTTTACAAGAACATTTTCCTCTTGATATTTTTTGGCCTTATCACTTTCGTTCTTGCCAATACTCCCTGAGCAGTGGAGAATGTCCCACGTGCTCTGTGCTCTGTTGTTCCCCACGTGCTATGGGTGAGGAAGTGTCCCTGTCCCAGCTGTGTGTGCTGCAGCTTTGCTGAAGTTCCAGTGAAATCAGTGATCCTGCCCCATGTCCTGAGACAGTTCCTGAACCTGGAGATATGCTCACGTGAGCAACTCCAGTGCAACGTTGCTTGCAGCCAAACAGCTCCTGGAAGAAAAGATTTATTCTGCAAATTTAATGAAACTACAACCTCAGGTTCCTGTGCAGCACGTGGTTATATGCAGGACCAAATAACCAGGCTGGTGCCACAGAGAAGTCACACATCCACCAGAGCTCTGGCTGCAGGGATGAGCTTGCCTTCCTGTGCATGTCCATCATCACCACACATACTTTGGAGGTTTTTCTGCACTCCTCCTTGCCATGCGTCAGCATCTTTTTGGGCTGGGATGTGGCTGGTGTTGCTCTTAGATAACTCACTCTTAGATTCTAATTCCAATGCGATTTTGTTGGCTTAAAATATCTCATAAAACCTCCAGATCCGAGAGGCTGTGAGGGGACACGCAGCATCCTAATTTCCATAAGAATATGAAGGGCCAAAAATATCAACTGACATGCATTCCCTCATCTCCATTCTGTTTGAATAAATGGAGATTGTTTAGTCGTCGTTGTCACTGCTGCTTATTCTGTCCCTCCTGTCACTGAGCGTTTACTCATCTAACAGTGCCTCGGGGCTCCAGCTGAGTTCAGAGCATCGTGGTGCTAAACCTGGTTCCAAACAAGTCAGGAACTGTCCTCCTGTCCCAAAATGCTCACGTGGAGCGGGGTGGGAGTGGAGAGGGAAGGTGAATGATGCGTGTTTTTCAAGTAGGCGCTGCCTGTATCGGGGAGAAAAGGGATATTAAGCAAAATGCACCAAGGTTATGGCAGCCTGGAAATAAGAACCTGTGCCAGTGAGCTCCTGCTCAGCACGGGGTTACAGAGCAGTGAGTGTCTCCAGGTCGGCTGGGGGTTTAGTGTTTGTTTTGTAGCTTCATTAATCACAAATAATGTCAATTTTAGATCAAAAGTGCCTAGCCCTGGCAGGCTTGGTGTGTTTTCTGGAGGGTGCCCTGAACCACCACAACTGCCCCTGCTGAATCCCCCTGGCTACTCTGTGTGTGCACACCTACTCCCAGGGAGGCTAGGAACAGCCTGTGTGTGCTCACAGACGGGCAGCACATTAGGAATTATTTTCATTATTTGCAAGGATATTACTTAGGCAAATTGTGTAGTAGCTGCATGTGTTTCTGCTCTGCTGAATGAACCAACAAAGGGCGTGAGACCTGTTCTTAAACCTTTCATTTCTTGCTAGGAGAAAGCTATGCCCAAATTCTGCATCGAAAGGGAAAATTCACCCTTTTGGTATGCTGGCAAGTTTACAGCTCCCCTGGTTTTCATGCCAGTGATTAAATGGAGACCTAGATAGAGGCCACTTTTTATAAGGCTCTTTTGGTGAAAAGGAGGGCTTTTATAAGTGAAAAGTTCCCTGTTTGCTACTCCCTCCCACCCTGCTTTTGGCTGGGAATCTGGTGCGGGTGTTGACACACAACATACTTCTGCAGATGTTAGAACAAGCTTCCTTTAGGAGGCCAATGTACACAAGTGGCCTTCTTCTGTTTTGAAACTGCAGCTGTGGCAATAGATGTCTGCCGAACGTTTTCCTTTTAGGAGACTTGCTGCCAGCTGCAGTGTGCACTGCAATTTGCAGTCACCCTATGGACTGGCTTGCCAAGCCCTTCCAGATCTTGCTCAGTTTCTTTGCCCCCTGTCCTGAGCACAATGCCAGAGAATGCAGAAAGTAAGTGTGTAACTGGGAAAAGTCATTTATACTTCATTGCACAGACTGAAGGTTCCCTGTTGAAAGCAAGGACCCTCGGTTAGCTGTAGGGGAATCCAGGTTTACATCTCTGATGTGACGTTTCTGAAGAGCAGAGGACACTTGCAAAGAGCAAAGAGTAAAACAGAAACCGTTCAACCCCTCTCCAGTGTCTGAAGGGCCTGTGCCCAGTATAGCTCTGCTTTTATTAAATTGGGCAGTTAAAAATACTTTGCAGTAAGAGTTGCACCCGAATAAATAAGTTGCCTTGCTAAACATTGATCTTTGATGGCAGCACCCGAGATTCTGCTTGCCCTAGTCACAAGGATGACATTTTTCTTAAGCCATGACAGTATGAGCATGTCACACGCCTGCACTGGTCAGCTCCATGCGTGGAAGTGAAACAAAGCGCTGCCCTGAGCTTCGATTATTCAGCAAAGGAAGCTGGAAATGAGCAAAAGACCCATTCTGCTTAGCAATCTCAATGCTTTGTGCCACCCGCAGCAGTTGGATGAAAATTGTTGGATACGGAGAGCTGAGCAGAGAACTTGTAAGAAAGGGCAGCAACCTCGGCTTGGAGGCTTTAAAATGTACTCACGATGCAAAGAGCAGTGTAAACTGCCTGGAGACTACAGAGATTGGCACGAGGCTGGTGTTCAGCAGGTCTGAGAGCCGTCAGCTACGGGGAGGAATGGCAAGAAAGAGACTGGTAGGAAGGGAGAGTGCGCCAGCAAGTGCTGCAGCTTACCACGTCCTTCCCCAGCGCTGCCAGGCACCAGCTCAGCACCTGCGCTCAGGGCTGGAAACTTTCACTGCTTATTTTTCCCTTCGTCAACTTTGGAGGGGCCTGGATCTGGAAGCTGTAAGAGATTGCAGTGAAGCACGTTTGCCCTGTGCTCTGGGGTCCGAGTTTGGCAGAGTTTGGCAGAGGCGCTGCGTTATTCCCAGCGCTGAGGCAGCTCTTGGTTCAGCTGCAAAAAAAACCACGAGGATCTCTTGACAGTCCCTTTGCTTTTGTTTTTCCTTCTGTGATCCAACCTGACAAGGACCCAAATTCATGCAGGAGAAGGCAGGAGATGACCTCACATCTGGCAGATGGACTCTGGCGTGTTCTTGATAGCTGCTGACCCAGCTGTGCTCTGGCATCTGCCGGAGGTGACCACCCGGTGCCAAAAGGCAGCAGAAGGGATCACGTTCCTACACCTCAGGCAGCTCACAGTCCAGTTTATCCCTGACCCACTGGCAGTTGAAGCTTTGCACTGAAATGGCTGAGAAATTGGGGGTTTCTGTCACCCACCTCTGCGACTGGCTGGCAACAACGAGTGGAAAAACTGAGCTGTTATTGGTAAATGTCTTAAACTGCAGCTTTTCACTTAGTGAAAGCACAATGGGATGGCGCTGGGAGCACTTCTGCTCCCTAAAAGGCAGGGTGAGCGTAGCCACTTGGGTCTCCCTGCCTGCAGGCTGACTGATGTCTCCGAGGAGAGGTGGAGCAGTCAGGGAATGTGCTCGCTGTCATTACAGGCAGTGGCCGGAGTGGGAGCCTCTTTTGTTGCGTGACATCCAGGCAGTGATTCAGCAGGAGCTGGCTGGCCGTGCCGTGCTCTGCGCTGACTTACAGTAAATTACGTACCCTGTGTTCGTGGCTCACAATGGTGGCTATCACAGTAGGGTCAGCCACGACAGCTTTTCCTGGCACACCAGGCTGTTGTTCATGACTCAGGCTCAGCTGGCTTCAGCAGGCAGGAGAGCCGATGTGCTGCCCTGCCGCCTGCCCTCTGCCTTTAGGTTTGGTGTCACCGAGTCCCCACCTGAAAGTGCTGCTGGAGATCAGACCCTGCCTAAAGCTGTGCAGGGGTGTATCCTCTGATACCTGTCAACACTCAGATTAGTAAAAATACAAAGTCAATTCATTTGTTCCTTCTCTGTGGAGGAGCTGGGGATCTCCCACCAGTGCTACAGCGGCAGGCAGAACTGAGAACAACTCCTCCAGCTTGTTCCTGTGTCTTCTGGGCTTTGACACGAGCTTCCACCCCCCCGTGGGTTAGCCTCCTCCCCTGTGCCTGCGGTGGAGGACACGAGCCACAGAGGGATGCAGACACGCAAGGGACTGCGAGGGAACAATAAGGCTCTGTCTGGCAGCATCACGAGTGCCAGCCTCGGAGCCCCAGCAACCTGCCTTTTCCGTGGTACGGGTGGATATTGGGCTAAAAAGGAGAAAAACGTTCTTGAAGAAGGCTCGTTCTGCTGCCTTGGGAGCATCTTCCTGTGCATCCCCCTCCCCATGCTGTTGCTGGGTCTGCGTTAGGTGGCTGCAGCAAGTGGTCAGCACTAAAAGGTGCAGGCTGGAGGGAGACTTCAGCTTCTTGTTACTGACGAGCAGCCCCCAGAGCCCTCGCTCTGCCCTGCTGCTCAGCCGCTAGCTGACACCAGCACTTAGTCACAGTCCCAGCTCTGGGAGGCCAGCAGCTTTTGTCCGGGGCCGAGAATGAGGCACAGAAAGTGGCATTAGAATAGGAAGCTTGAAGTGAGGCAGGAATCCTTCCCTTGAACAACATGTACGAAGCTTTCTAAACCCCAGTGTGGGCTGCCAGGTCTTTGCCAGGCAGTGTGACAGCTCAGCTGCTCACAAGTGGAGCTTTCTCATAAGCTTTTGTAATCACAAAGCTTTGGGGCAAAATCGTTTCCAAACAAAAAAGTTTTTAAGCACACACAAAACCAGGCCTGCTCGGGCTAAAACAAAACCTGGCTGTCACTGTGTTTTGGAGCCTTGCCTTCCCTTAGGTTCCCCGGTTAGCATGATCCTCCTGTGCCCTAGACAAAGAGCTCTTTTTGCAGAGTGCTGTGGTGCAGGCCCTAACCTCTCCTCTGGGCTCTTAGGAAGACGTGTGGCCCCAATCACCTTACGTGCAAACTAATCAAACAAACACACTTCCCCAAAATTGCTGCTTAACTCCCTGCTGGCTGTGCTGTTTGTGAGGGTGCTGCACCTTGTCGTTGTGATGTGCAGGTGCAAAACTGTGGCACTGAAGTGAGCAATAAATGCAGAAAGGAAGGGCAGTAGGTTTCTAGCAGAATAGCAGGGCTGGATGTAAGGAGATAACGCCTTAGCTCTGCAGAATTTCCGATGCTGCTGCTTTGGTCAGGAGAGCATCCCAGTAGGGATGTCCAGAGTATAGGTATGTAAGATTTAAGTTGCTGAGACCCAAAACAGTTGCCACTTTGTTGTACCATAAACAAAACAGGAAGCTGCTAAAAGCATTCAGCTGTCAGTCACCCTTAGCTTTGTCTCCCTCATTTTATACAGTCCGGAGGTTCTGACCCTCTTGTGATTCCAGAATGTGGGGCCTGATTTACAAAAAGGCTGAGGCATTGCTCTTGAAGGCAATGCAAAGATGTTGGATAGCTGTAGCATGTTAAATACCTGAAAAACAAAACAAAACAAAACAAAACACAAATGAGACCCTTCCAGTATGTGTTTTGGATGAGCCTGTCCATAGCTGCTCACCTCATCTGTGAAAAGCAGCTAATTGCTCTGAAAAGTTATTTGTGAAGCCCACAGATATTGTGGTGATAAGCAGCAAAGAAGAGATCATCAACGGAATCAGTAATTGTGTCTTCAGGGCAGGGCTTGAGCAGAGTGCACTCAGTAAGACATATTGATCAGTAAGAGCACCTCCCCTGTCATTAGGGCCGGTGATAGGAGGAATTTGTGCAGCACAGCTGAGTTCAGGCTGCCTAGGTGACTTCGGGATTGTCTGATTTTTGAGTGCTTGATTTTGCCACTCGCAGGATGTTCTTTAGCACGAGAGTCTGCCCGTGTGCCTGCACAGAGCAGGTGAAGGCACACAGTGGAGCTATTTGGATCTAAGCTGGTCTGCCACTTGTAAAGATGGTGTTTCTCTCACCTGAAGGGTACTTTCGGGGCAAAGCTACGCAGTACCGTTCAAACCCCAGAAATTTTCTGTCTGTGGTGTCTGCTGCTTTATTTTTTCATTTGCAAACGGAAAAAGATACGGTGAATTCGTTCACTTACGCCGCCCTCGTGCTGCATCCTATCCACACGCAGCTGAAGCCAGGGCCCTGGATTCCTGTATCGCTTCTGTTCTGCAGAGCCACAGGAACAGGGAAGCGGGCAGAGCCCGCAGCATGCAGGTTTCCTACTGCTCTCTTCTCGCAGCCTGTGGGGAAGTTGGGGATAAAGTACTTTATTGCCTTTGAACCACCACAAAACAAGTCGGACTTTCAATCTGATTCACTACGCACGGTTTGACCATTCCCTGTACAAATTTACGCTGCCATAAGACCTTCTCCACGTGTTTTGCAGAAGTAAAAAACTCTCACTTTCTTATTTCTGTATTTATTAGCGGCGAAAATAAAACTAGAGCAACAAACAGTTCAGCATAACAAAATTCTGTTCGTGGGAGCTGTGATGCGAAATGCTTGCCAAAGTGCAAAGGAATCTGTAGTTTAAACACAGGTTGGAACTGGATGTTAAATAAAAACTGAAGGGATATACAGAGAGCAGAAAGCTGCCTCTCTGTTCCTGACGAGAAACGCTTAGGCAAAATTCTCTCTCCACTTTTGCAGGTTCATGATATCAAATTTCAAGCTCCGACTTTGGAAGAAAAGGAATCGTGGATAAAAGCTCTTAATGAAGGGATCAATAGAGGCAAAAACAAAGTATTTGATGAGGTAAGAGAAACAGTTTTCAACCCCAGTATTTCTGTGTCAGTTCTCATTCACTGCTGTTTGAGCTAGGAAGAGAACTTGCCCGAGACCCCACGCTGCATGCCAGGCATGGTCAAAGGAAAGAGAAAGCCCATTCACAGCTGGTATGCAGGGCAGACCAAGCTGCATCCCCACGGGCTAGGAGCTTTTAGTCCCTCCAGTTCTCAGCCCAAGAAGCTAGAACATGCAGAGAAGTGTTGGAGCCCTTCTGCCTCTTGCTGCTTTCCCCTCTCTTCTGGCAGGGTTAGATGCAGGGGCAGCAGGGTGAGTAAATGTGTGCCAGAGGCATGCTCTGTGCTGCTGACAGCTAATGTCTCACTGGGAGGCCCATGGGACACCAGAGCTCACCAAAGTTAGTGGAAGATGGTCTGGGGGCTTCAGGGGGTTTTGGATCAGCCCCTCAGCGAATGCTCTGATGTTCCCCTGTCCTGGAGGAAGCCGCTGGGGCACAGAAGCAGCTCCACCAAGTCAGTAAGGACTCGTCTCCCCCCAGTGTTGTGATTCTCAGCACCAAGTAGCCTGGAAATGGAGGTGTTTGGTTAGGACATAGCCCAGTCTTCAAGACTGGAAAAATCTGCAGTGACTCAGTCCAGCAGCTATTCTGCCTCCAGTCTGGAGTCCAGTGGAAAGTTACTCCGTGGCTTGTCAGCCCGGCTGCTCTCCTGCCTGCCTCTCAGCTGGCCCCAGCACCTGCACGCCCCAGTCCTCCTCTCCTCCTGATGTGCAGAGGCAAGGATGAAAATCGCACATCCCGGAGCCTGACTAACCTTGCTCAGCTCCCCTTTCGTGTGTGATCAGCCCCAGAGCAAACTGAAAGAGCACTACCAATTCTGCAGTTGTTTCTGTAACCGAAAGGAAGTGCACAAAACCACCGCCACGGGAATCACACAAGAGCTGGGCAGGGTAGCTAGGAGACTAAGAAATCAGCAAGATGTGTCGAGCAGAGGAAACCAAAGCAGTGAGTAAAAGTCAAGGGCTGAGCCCTGTCGGTGTGGTGCTAGAGAATTCAAACCCTGAGAGCTTGGTCTTTGCTTTTACAAGGCAAAAGCTGGAGGAGAGGCTGAGATGTGCTCCTTTTTTTGCTTGGGTAAATGACATCCAGCGTCAGGTTTTTGCTGGCAGCTGGGAGCAGCAGGGAGGATGTTACAAAGTGGAGCAGCAGAGAGCTGAGCAGCCAGGCCTGCTCTCACGTTACAGCGGGTGGGAGATGAGATGTCCTGTAACACGGCGCTGCTCAGCCCTTGCTGGAGACCTGACGCCATCCCTGAGCTGCCCGGAGGGGCACGGCAGTGGGCAGCAAAGCCCAGCACGGCGTGGTGGGGTCTGGGGTCTTAATCTGGAGGTTCTGCTCCTTAGGAGGACCTGGATACTCAGAGAGAGACAGCTTTTAATTCTCCTTCATTGCAATTAGCATCAGACCTCGGATTTAAAGTGTTGCTGCACAGGCTAGGCACAAGCTGATGGCTCAGGCTTGGAGCAGCTCCACTTGAAAGCTGTAAAAGTGCCCTGCTGTATCAGCCAGGGATTGGGACCCAATTTTTCCTTTTAAACCCTTCTTTCACCCTCACCAGCTTTTCTTACAGGACAGCCTTGTGGTCCGAAGGGCAGCAAACCGTGCTGACCTTTCACCGTCCTCCACACTGGCTCTGACCCTCAGCTGTGGCCAGCAGAAAATGGGAGAGCTGCCAAGAGAGCAGAGCTGCACGACAGCCCTTCCTGGCTGCCCACGCCTCAACCCAGCACTGCCACCCCTGCCACCACGCTGAGGACAACCTCAGAGTGCCTGGGCTGGCTTTAGAGGCTCTGCTGCCCATGGGATGCCTGTCCCCAGCCCCAGGAGGGTGGCAGACAGTGAGAAATACCTGCAGTGGGGTTGGGTCCCTCCCAAGCTGGGCTGCCCAGAGAGGTTGTGGAGTCTCCATCCTTGGAGATCTCCTCGGAGATCTCCAGGAGCCATCTGGACGTGGTCCTGGGCAACCTGCTCTCGGTGGCCCTGCTGATGGCTTCCAGAACTACCCTCCAACCTTCACCACCCTGTGGAACCTCACTGCCCGTGTGTGGGAGGCAGTGGATTTCTACTCTGATGCCGGGAAATGAATTTGTTAATTCAGCTACAGTTGCAATTAATCCAGGTCACTGCTCACACCTTCTATTCAGCTTCCTGCAGTCATTAGAGCTGTACAAGGGAAGGTCTATTCCGAAGAACTGCTGATACAGTTCACCGTCGGGTCACGGTTATTAATGGGCTTTCACCTCCGAGATGGCAACAGCAATTTCGGTGCCGTGCTCTGCCACACGCAGGAGCTGTTCCAAGCCCAGGCTGGGGTGGGGACAGCAAAGCCCACTGGTGCCCTTCTGTGTCCTGCCCTTTTGGCAGAGGGAGGGTTGGTGATTATGGACCTGAAGGTTGGGTGCTTTGCTCTGGAGTGCCTTTTAGATAAATGCCATTCTGCAGGTGATCGGTGCCTTAAATGTCCATCATGTACTATGGGGCTGTGCAAGCAAACTGTGCCTAAAGTCTGAGGCTAAGATTGTAATGGTGGAATATTCAAAAATCTTCCTGGATCCCAACGCTGCGTCCCTTCCTGTGTGCCAACACCACCTTTATAGACAGATCATAAGAAACTAATACCTCTTTTCTTTCCTCTCTCCCTCCCGTTCCCCCTTTTAAAGGTGAAAGTAGACGAGAGCCTTTCCTTGGACCATGTAACTCGGGACAGAGTGAAGATGACCCAAGGTCGCCGGCCACCCACGAGAAGCCACCTGAAGGAGGTAGGTGCCCTGCCTGGGGACTGAGCCATCTCCCAGCTGGGACCAGCACGAGCTGCACAGCCGCTGCTCCATCCAGCCACCAGCAAACCCCCAGGGAAAACCCAGGTGCCCGGAGAAAGCTCACAAGGGAAAGCAGCTTCCCCTGGGAAAGACGGTGCCAGCACCTCTTTAGCAACCCTCCAGGTTCCCATAGATCTGTAACTGCTGCAACGTGTTACGATATATTTAGCTTTCCATACCTCACGAGCCACTGCGCTGTCTGCTGAGAGCCATTACGGTTTCACTTTAATCAGAAGAGACCGAAGCTCCTATATTTATTTTCTAAGAAGTGATGATTTTTGTAGCCACAATGGTCTGACGGCCCAAGAACTGCGTGGTCTGTGGAGAGAAGCAGTATTTTTTATTAAACTAACTGGAAAAAGCAGGCAAGCTCTCGGGTTTACAAACCCTTCCTTTGGTCTGAACCAGAATACATTATTCTCCCAGGCGGCTTTATAGACTGGCCTGCCTACTCGTAACTGATTTTCTGGGTCTGTCACTTAAAAAAAGAAGGAAAGAAAGAGCACCACAGAATAAACCTGCGGTTCATTTCTATGGGAGAAGTTCTTATTAATGCGGGATTCCTGTGATTTACGAATAAGCTTCCACAGACAGATATGTTAGGAGGCCATTAATCTAAAGCAACGAAGGTTTTTAAATCAAACCTTCTTACTTCACACTTCCCAGGCTCTGAGTTATGTGTCTGCACAGCTCTCAGATGACCCTACTGCAGGAAATGAGATGCCCCAGGAGTTTTAACTTTGCATAGAAATGGAGGGAGAGTGTCTCTTCTAGAGAAATGCACGGGGATGGATCCCAGGTTCCCATCTATCCCTCCAGAAAACAGCAGAACAAAACCCGACAGAAGCTGGAGAAGCAACGCTGTGTAGATTCTCTGATGCCTAGAATGGGTTCAGTAAGGCAGGAAGCCAGCTCACTGTTTTCATGAGATGCTTCAGATATCTGCAAGAGCTCTCACTTTCGGCCAAATCTGGGGGAAACTGGCTTGCAAATTCAAAAGCAGGAATGAGGGGAAAGGGGGAGGACAGAGCCTGCAGAAAGATGGGTGTCACAGGTGGCTGCAGCGCTGTGAAGGAAATGGGAGGATTTTTTTTTCAGTGCCAAAGCAGGCCAGGTAAGGAGGGGTGAGGGCCAAGCAGCCAGGATGCAGCTTGTCTCTGTGTGTCTAAGGGGCTGGAAAGGCAAAAGAGGCTTCACCTAAACTCTCCGCGCTGCAGGAGGCTGCCCGGAGCTGCAGCTGGGGCCCTCACACAGGAACTGCCATCACATTTCTGCCCCCAGGGTGCCGAGCTCACACCCTGTAGCGTGTTTACCGCGTCCACCCTTTTTAGGATATCCCTCCCCTGCTCGAGAGGTTTGCACGCAGCCTGTGGTTTGAAGGTCTGATGGGCTGAGGCTTGGCCCCAGCAAGGCAGCGGTGAAATCAGGCTGAAGGGAGCGAGCAGAAGGCAATGGTCTTGCAAGAGCATCCCTGCTCAAGTGGCCTCAACACATGCTGACCATCCAAAGATTGGTTTGTTTTACATGTTCAAGTGGAAATAGGGCAGTCCTGAAAGCAGCTTTGAGGAAAACATCTGTAAATGAAAGGGGTAGGGAGATACAGCTAACCAGGATGAGGAATTCAGGTTGTGCAGAGCTGAGAGCACAACACCAAGAGGAGAACAGAGACGCTAAGGTTATGGTGGAGCACGTTTTGAGATGGTCTGCTCAAAGGAAGTCGTAAAAAAAATAATTCTGTGCTTTAGTCCTCATTCTTGACTGCTTGTGGCTATTGGCTTTGTTATTCTTGTGCAAGTCGCTGCGCTATCAGGTGGAAAATAACTCAGCAGCAAAAACGCTCACGGCAGTCACAGAATATGTTGGTCTGGAGGAAAAACGGGGCTGTGCAGAGGGACGGGGGATGCTCCATTTGATGCTTTCGAGATTTGCCGCAGCGTACGTGAGCTGACCCTGCTTCCTGCTTTGTCGGGTGAAGTGTTCGGGACTCACGATTATCCCAGCTCATTAAATTCTGGCACAGCAGATCTCACTGGCTTTCACTTAGCAGATGACTGCAATGCTGTTAGAGGGGGGCTCGGGGTGATGCTGCACAGGAGAAGCTCCGTAGATTGCTCTTGAGCTGTAGAAGCAGCTGCTCTTGAGAGCACCATTTCTGTAATCAGTCAGATTCTCCTGGCAGTTTTGACAGATGTAAGTATAAATAGGGGGTGGATGTGTGAAGCAGTAATCCCCTGCCTTCGCCTTTCAGCTTCAGTTTTATGCCTGCGAGTGTTTATACCGCTGTATCCATAGCAATTCCTTGAAGTTAAAGGATTGATGGAATAGAAATTGAAAAAGTTCCCTCTTGTGTTTCAGGCTGCCAAGTCTACGTCAGATGGTATTCTGAGACTAGATCTGGATATGGTAGACAATGGACCACCCACCTTTGACTCCACTATCAGCGAAAGTGACAATTCGCCACCTCAGAAAGAAACTCCAAAGCCACCCATGCCGCCTACAAAACCCACGGGCACAAAAGAAAGCCAAGATGCAGAGAACAGCGTTTCTGACCAGGAACACAAAACGCCTCTGCCTCCAGATCAGAAGCTTAAGGAAGGCTTAGCATCAAAGGACGATGTAAATGCCAAGGAAAAGGACTCTGTAAGCAGAGAGGAGAATGTGGAAGAATCCAAGGCACCAGGTGAGGAGAACAGAGAGAAACTTGCTGAACTCAGCAGCAAGGGCACATCAAAACCTCCAGTTCCTCTTCCCAAGAACGTGCCAGACAAGCTAAAAGTGGCTTGGGACCAACCGGTGTCTGAACTTGAAAACACAGAAGACTTGAAATCATCAGGAGACGGTAGCAAAGACAGCCCTGCTGAGACTGCTGCTGCAGATGTTACAAAACCTCCTGCTCCTCCTCCTAAGATCCTGTCAGAAAAGATGCTGGCCACTATGAACTCCAGCCACGGCGACCTGGAAGCTGGGGGCTTGGAAGATCTGGGGTCTGGCAGCTCCGAGCCCCCGGTGAACGGCGTCGAAGGCAGCGAAGTAGCAGAGTCCACATCCCCAACAGCTGAACCTAAAGAAGAAAACGGGACAAGCTTGGCTGAGAAGGAACAGCAAAGTTCAGCAGAACAGACACCAAGTTCCTTAGCTGCAGAAACAGGCCAGGAGAGTGTAAAAGAAACTATCGAGAGGAAAACCTCCGTAGAAAACACTTCGGGCCTCAAACTTCGCAGTTCGTCTCTGGGAGACTTGCTGTCAGATTCCAAAAATACCCAGACAGCACTTCCAGGGCAAAGTATCCCCAAGGATTCCCATCACTGCTTAGCTAAAATGGAGGAGAAAGTTGCGAGCGAAAGGGAAAAGGCAGAAAAACTTCTGCAGAAGGTTTTACGTGGGGGGCTGGAGCAGGTCCAGGAGGGGAACGGACCCCCAGTGATGGCAGAGACATTACTCAACGAGGCAGTAGAACAACTTCGGCAAGCTACGCAAGTCTTGCAAGAAATTAAAGGTCTTGGAGAACTGAAAAAAGAAGCAACACAGAAACAGAAAGAAAAGCAAAAGGATCTAGTGACTCTCTATAGGAGAAGTGCTCCCTGACACACTCTTCCAAGAAGCTTGGTTTTTGAAATCAAGGCTAAACGTTTGCCATTTATGATTTGTACCGTTGCTAGGCCAGTGTTCAAGAGGTGGTGTTTTGCTGTGCATGCACCATGTTTATGGGACAGAACTGAGCTCTCAGTTATAGCCTCTTCCTCTCTTTCTTCATGCTGTACGTACCAGTCCGGTTCTAATCCTCTCAGCACAGCAGAAGGTTACAGGACAGCTTCAAAAATGTGAATGGTTTTTAGGGACTTGATCCAAAGTACTTTCAAATCAATGGATCAGGCCTTAAAAATTTCTGGTAGTCAAACCGAGTCAGAATTTTGAAAGGAGCAGAAAGGTTTCCCTAGCAAAAGCCCCCGTCTGTCTGTATTTACAAGCAGATACCAGATTACACTGGCACCTATCCGGTTTTCCCACTTCAATCGTTTAAAGATAAATCCAGTCAGAGAATATTTTACTTTGTTTATACACTTGCTGGCAAGGTTTCCTGGAGCACCTGGCCCAGTGACATCTAGGAATGTAAGGATAAATGGCTTAAACTTCTCCGAGGATGCTCGTAAAACCACATCCACAGTTAGTGACCGCACGCAGAGGCAAGCAAAACTGGCCAGCTCCTGCCTACGAGGAGTGTCCTCAGACCTAGGCACTCTTCTGAGTCTGGCCAGGCAACGCTCTAGGTGGGCTAAGCGCTGTGTAAATGAATGCAAGTTTCAATGCATCATTGCCAGGCACGTATTAATTGTTCCTGTTTCATTAACAGGGAAACTGAGGCAAGGATTAAGAGCAGGTTACACTTGGCCTTGGAAGCAGCGTGTTGCAGCAGCACAACATGCTCATTTTTAAGGACCATCCCTACCTGGTAACTCTGAATCCCCACTTTGTAATTGGGAACGATTAGCCAGACGTTTTGAGAGTTTGTGTCCAGGAGATGCCCAGGGTCTTCCCAGGAGAGCCTGTCCTTAAGAAGCTCATTTGTTTAGGATGTTCCCTTAGCTGTTGGCTCCCCGTTGTTGGGATGCTAACTGATAGGAGCAGGCGTATCAGGCAGCCGGTCTGGGTGAGATCCCTCGTCCTATTCAGCAGGTTTCTACCTGCTGTGTCCTGGCTAGCCTGAGAGCCACGGTTTGGCACAGGCGTCTGCAACTGGAGTATGGAGGGAAAGGCATTTTGTGCGCACAACTTTGGGGCTGGTCCCTGCGGCTTAAGTATACGAAAATAAAAAAGCATTGCTATGTAAGGGGCTGAGGAAAGCGTTGCAGGAGGCTCTGGCACAATTCCCACAGCTCCCCCACCCACCTGCTGAAAGCAATCACAATTCCCATGGTTTCTAGTGATTAAAGTTGTGATAAAATCCTGTCTTTGCACCGCTGCTGTACAGTGCTGTACCTGAGCTGAGTCCCCTCTCCTGTTCCGTACAGTATTTGCTCTCAGGAGAATCGTATGACATCCTGAAGGGCTTCTCCTTTGCTTAAGCCAGACTCTGGAAGCACAGAAAAGGATGATTTTTCCAGGCTGGTTTTAAGGAGTGACACGCTACCTTATCTTTTTTCTCTCACTGTCAGCACTTTTCTTCTGTTGTTCTTTGTGTAATTCCCCAGGTTCCACAAGGCTGCAGTGGGCTGCAAACACCTCCCTTTGCAGCAGCCCAGTGAAGCTTCATCTGCACCTCTTCTTAGGCTAGCCCATGTGCTCTTCAGATCTGAGCAGAGAAATGTTGTCTTTGGGCTTCCAAATATCCTGATTTTCACCACCCAGAGCCATCAGGACAGGTAGTGAGTGACTAGAGCTGATGCTTCCATATCTTCTGATTTGGATTAAAGCAGCCAGGGTGGTCTCTCCCCCTCTCAGGACAGCTGTAGACAATGCATGGAAAATCACTTCTGATTCTCTCACGTGGGAGGTTCTCCACAGTCAGACACTCAGGGCTCAGGTGCCACAAAAGCTTTGCGTTGAGACAAAAAGATTCCTACGTCCTAAGCCCACTGCCAGGCACACAGCCTGGAGGAAACTCTGGATCTGTGTGATTTGCTGCTGTAGATTGAATGTGAACCGTGGGTCTTACTTGCCTTCCAGATATTTTTAGGACAAGGGCTAATCATATAGACAATACTCTGTGCCTATCTGCTATCTAAATGTATTTTTCTGCATGTGCACTTTTGTTTACCGAACACTGTGTGGTATGAATGTGAGCTGTCAGAACCTGGTGCGCACTGGAAGTCGAGGGACATCAGCTTCAGAGAGCAGGCAGGCGCTTGCAGGATGCAGGTCTGTAACAAGAGAGAAACCAGATGGGGAAAAGGAGATCACACTAACAGGAAGACACATGAACCAGGGCAAACTGCGGGTGCAGGTTCATATCCCCAGGTGCAAGCCAGTCCTGACCTCCAGGATGGGCAAATCGAAGCCTGGAACTGAAAACTCATGAGAATGGAGGTAATTTATGGGAAGGTCAGTCCCCTAATGCACATACAAATGCTTCTGCTCTCACGGGTGTTTCTTGTGGCAGTGTGTTCTGTGGGTACCGTCTGGCAAAGCGCTGATGAAGATACCGAGACATCCCTATCTGTTACAGCCAGACCTCCAGGATGTGCTTATATTTACTGTATATTTTTATATAATACTGGATATTCTAATGAATAAATGTCTGACATTTTACTGAATACCCATCAGTAGGAATCTTAACAGAAAAAAAACACCAAACAACCCTATCTGTTAGGAAATGAGCACATTAAATCATTTTACAAGCTACAGCTAATGACGGTTTTTGCTGTACTAACAGAACTTACTAGATTTGTATTATTTCTTGTAAATAGGTATAACTTAAGTGGAATCTCCATAGCACCTGGTAACTCTACTGCTGAAAACATTCCGTTGGAGACTTTTTAACTCTTTTTTCTAATAGGGTTAGCAGTTTCATCCTAAAATGTCTAGCCCAGCCCTAAGCCTGATTCACCCGGACTTCCCAGAAAACAACGGATCATGTTGCTTCTGCAGTTTTCCCACTTTGTTCTTCTCATTCTGGTGATAAGCTGGGCTCTGCCTAAGGCAGGAGGGTGGGCTACCTTGTAGCTGCCCTCTGGAGTGCTTCTAGATGCTCCTCTGCTAATGGCAGTGCTGGTCACAGTCAGAGATGGGATCCTGGCCTCTTAAGCCTTTGCTCTGACCTCCTGCAGCACCTCCCATCTTCAGCGTACGTCCTGCCACCACGCACTTTTTTGTTTCTCCCCTTAAACACCTGATTTCTGGCTGCACTAAGGCTGCCTTCTTGTGCCTGGCAACCCTGTGGGCATGGAGCGCTGGGGCGTGAGGCTGTGCTTCAGGCCGTGCCACCAGGTTACATTTGTGACAGGAAGGAAGTGAGCTTGCAAGCAAGCGAATGTGGATGACTCTCCGAGAAGCAGCTGCCGCAGCCAGAGGAAAGGCAGCACTTTGGCTCCTGCTTGTAACGAGCTTTGAGACTTGGCAATAAACCCCCTTTTAAATATCAGCTGTTTAAGAGCCATTTGTCCTAAAACAGGGGCAAAGAGGAGCCAGGAGGACTGGCAGCCGGGGGCTTTGCTGCGGAGGAGGGCGCGTTGCACGGCTGTGGTCAGGCTGGGGCGAGCAAGCTGCTGTGCTAACCACAAGCCTGGAGGAAGGAGAAGCACTGGGGCTTGCGGGTGGCACCCAGCTGGGCTGCTGCACCCAACCAAGCGCAGGCTCTGGCAGCGCTCTCGGGGCCGTCCTTAACGCCTTGATGTGGATTCTGGTGTGTAGCAAATGTGAAACT